TATTTACAGTATACCTTGTGTTTGTGGAAAGTTTTATACAGGTGAAACCAAGAGACCTCTTTCAGTAAGGACGAAGGAACATAAGTACAATATAAAGAAAAGAAACATCGATAAATCGAAACTAGCTGAACATATCCTTACTGAAGACGGACAACATATGGCAGAGTGGAATAATATTAAAATCATTGGAAAAGAAGATAACAACCAGAAGAGAAAAATCAAGGAATCTGCTTGCATTCTTCTGAACGGAGACAATAGCATTGCTTCTTGTTCAATTGATATAGACAGAACATGGTATTCACTACTAAAATCTGAACATGAAAATGGTAAATTCAAGATTAATTAATGAAAACATCCTGTAACTCCTTTGATTGCCAACGTCACCAATTGTCATTGAAAACTGAAAAGCTTCAAGACATATTATACGACTTCGCAATTGAAAAAATCTCTTCATGTTGAAAACGGGAGCAGAATCGGTCCCGAAACGTCCAAAGATAAATGAAAATTTGATATTTTTTCTATATACCTTTATTTCTCTTCTCCAAAAATTTTTCAATACAAATTGTCACTGACAAGCTAGTGAATTTTTCTTTTAGGCTCTCTGATAGGAAAATTCTTCAAACGCAGTGACATTTTGGGGCAAATCATCTGATTTGTCCTTACTACACGTATATTGAAATAATATTCATATTTTTATTTTATAGAAACGAGGAGAGAAAATCCCAAAAATTTGGAATAATGAATGTACCACCTCCTCGATTAACCTACAGACAGTATCTAAGAGTAATACCAAAACTCTATTCGCTATAATGAATTTTTTATTTCTCGAGAAGTGCCTCTTGTTATCAAAATACGATTTTTTTTCAAAACTGTACGAATTACGTGAAAATGAAGAAATTATCAACTTTTCTTGGAATTGAGGAGTTACGTGTTGTATAATCATGTCATTATTGGAAATTCACTTTCAACTCAGACTGTTCGGAATAAAATGCATCTGATCTCCTTCAGTTTGTATAGGTTGAGTTTATACTAAGTGATCACGAACTGGTAACTGATTTTCATGAAGTCGTTGATGTTCTCACGAATATTAGTAGGTTTTGAATTTTGAAATTTGATCCCAGAATTATCCTAGTGTTCGATCTTTTCGAAATGTATCTCAATAATCATGTCTTATGTTGCGGTTTCTTGATTTGATATCACACTGTGAATTAGTAATCGGTTGAAATTTGACTGTTTTCGTCTCTTGAGAAACATGCATTGACCAATAACGTGAGCACAACCGCTTCCGGTCGACTCATCGAGATTCATTCGGTTCGATATATTGGTTTGAGCCGCTTGGAGTATCTGCTGTTCTGTACACATGATTGTCTTTGTTCAGTATTTACGTTATGGATTGGATAAATACATTTACCATATAGCGACCTGTTCACGTCAACTCCAAATTAGAAGTGGGATTACCCATATCCACTTTACGTCGATAAAATATGAAGAGTTTGTTAGTCAATGTTTCGAATGAGGTCAAATCCAACAGAAGGGCCATTGGAAATATTACCTAGAACGGTATATATTTGACCAAATAATATCCTGATGATTAGTCAGATATAAACGTTGTGTAAAGTACCTGACTGGTGAGTTTCATATATTGTGGTGTGGAAATTGGTTATCAATTAAGAGAGATACACATATTGTCGGCGTTCGTGTGGAATGAAATTCACATGTGAACTTTCCGAATTTTGTTGTTGTTGAATCTGCAGTTTCAGGTTGTATTGATTATTTTGCATGTTATGGTGCTTGAATTGATCCTTGCGGAACACCAGCATTTATGGTAAGAGAGTTAGATAGAACTCTGTCGACCACTACATGGAGAGACCTGTTTGAGAAAAAAGTAGCTAGCAGAAAACATAGCTGGGGAGGCAAGCACTCGGTCGAATGCTTTGGAGATATCAAGTGCCACGGCTAAGGTTTCACCATATTTTTCAATAGATTGCTGCTATATATGTGAGACGTAAGCGAGCAGGTCACCAGTTGATCTCTGATGACGGAAGCCATATTGCCTATCGTTGATAATACCTGAATGTTCCAGGTATTTCATGAGCTCGATGTTGATAGCTTTCTCCATGATCTTTGAAACAATAGGTAACAGTGCGATCGGTCTGTAGTTTCTAGGTAGGATCGTCTTGCCTTCTTCAGGAACTGGTTGTACTCTTGCAATTTCCCAGTTGGACGGGAATATCCCCAATTTGTAAGAGTAGTTGAACAACTTGCAGAGAATAGGTGTTAGTTCGGGAGCACATTTCTGTAATGATATCCAATTCAATATTAATTAGAATGGTTCAATTTCGAATATAATAATGACTGACTGATCAAAACCCTGACTTCGCAAATCACAGTACCAAGATTACAGTCGAAATATACTTCTAACATATACTTAGTGTTATACGCTAGTATACCGGGTGGCTACGGAAGTATTGCCTACAGAATATCTCAGTTATTGTATGAAGTAGGTTTGTGAAATTTGGAGCTTCGATATAATGACATAAGAGCTAGAATTTGAGCATATTGACATGTCGAAGTTAACTTCCGGTCTGACCGGAAGTAACATCAACTTTCTTATTTTGAATAGAAACCCTATTTTTTTCCTTTTCGCTTTATTCAGCATTCAATTACCTTTCTAATGACATATCACAAGTTGGTATCTAACCAGAAACTAGATCAGAAAAACATTATTATTGAAATTCACCGAGTAGGCCATGGAAGCAAAATGAAAGCCAAAAATTGAAAAGTTGGCTATGGAAACCATACGTCACTTGATAACAGTTGCTACTACTGTGATATTTTATTTTCATTTGTCGGCGTTATAAAAAGCCGCCAAAAAAAATATTGGAAAAATTGGGAAAAAAACAATAACTTAAATAGGAACATACAACTTTTTCTTGCATGTACTATTCAGCATAACCATTTCTTTCTAATGATATAATAGAAAGTCATTTCTTGAAATGAAATACCAAAAAATCCAATTATTATTCTTCAAATAACAAAACAGATTATCGCCATACGCAAAAATGAAATTGAAAATAATAAATAGTTTCTGGTTAGATACCAACTTGTGATATGTCATTAGAAAGGGAATTGAATGCTGAATAAAGCGAAAAGAAAAAAAAATAGGGTTTCCATTCAAAATAAGAAAGTTGATGTTACTTCCGGTCAGACCGGAAGTTAACTTCGACATGTCAATATGCTCAAATTCTAGCTCTTATGTCATTATATCGACGCTCTAAATTTCACAAACCTACTTCATACAATAACTGAGATATTCCGTAGGCAATACTTCCGTAGCCACCCGGTATGTTAGATCTTCCTTATCAAATTGAATAAAACTAAAACTAACAATAATAATCAAATTTCTTCAATGAATCTTCTAGGTTTCTTGATTCCTCTTCGTGGTCTACGATTAACGTTATCTGCTATGTCAGTCCCTTCTTGGGGAGGTTTGGAAATCATATATGCAGAACAGTGATCTTCAACATTATTACTTGTTGCTTCTAAGTCAGGACTAGGTTCTTGAATCTCAGGAAAAGCGATTGGGTTAGGATACACTTGAGCGACTGAAGGACGTATGTGTTTCGAGTTTCTTTCTGAAATCTTTCCTCTCGTAGTCTCGACTACAAATGACCTGTGCCGAGAAGTTTCCGATTTAACCTTTGCACCAATCTATTTTCTAGGTCCTTCTTGGAGTACTACCTGATCACCTGAATTGATATCTATGGATTTCGTGCTTGTTTTGTCGAAATGATATTTTTGAGTGTTCCTCAGTTTTTCCAATTCACTCGCGACATTATCTCTGACCTCAGGTCGCAGATGTGAATTACTGACTAGTAAATGACTCCTAGTATTTGTGCTGGAGATCTTAGTATTCCATTTCAAGGTTTATTTCTTTGATTTAACAATGCTTTATGAATATCAGAACTATCTCGCTCGCACTTTCTTATGAGATCTTTGGCTATTCCAACGTACTTTTCGGATAATCCATTTGACTGAGGAAATCGTAGGGAAGATGTTTTATGACTGAAGTGCCATTCCTTGGAGAAATTTCTAAAATCTCTGGAATTGAACTGCGGTCGATTATCTGACTCTGAACTTTGAGGTATTCCATGTACCGAAAAACATTTTTTCATTATTCTGATCACTTCTGCAGAACTGTCAGTTTCCAATAATTCAAATTCATTATATCCTGAATAGCTGTCACATAATAAGACATATTCAACTTTTCCGACTCGAAACAAATCTGCACCAACAATCTGCCAAGGGGGCGATGGAATTTCTCGTAACATTAGTTTTTCTTTTGGTTTGGACTTTGACATAGATAGGCATATCACTAGTCATACTAGTCCAAGAAATAGAATTTCGTGCTCTTCTAAGCGTTCTGTCGATTTTTATGTCATCCATAAGGTTCTGGTATTTGAATGCGTTTAGATTGAACTGTTCACGATGGATGATATTCACGTAAAATTCACTGTCTTCTGATTCTTCCTCCTTTTCGTCAGCCTCTTCTTCTGCCAACAAATGAACCTTTTCATTGCCATTTGTATTTTTCAACTCCTTACAACATTTTGTTAAATGTCCTAGGGATTTGCAATATTGACATCTTTTATTATAAGCTGGAAAATTTCGGAACCCATGTTTGCTATCACAACGTTGGCAAATAACTAAATAAATAAATAAATTAATGAATAAATAAATGAATAAATATTTTATTGATCCAGTTAGACATCCACAGAATGTATAGGACGAGTCGGGTTGTATAGAACATACATACAAAAAAACAAATAATTAGTTACGAATAGTGATATATAAAATATGATATAAAAAGTACAAAAATGTAAAATTCAGCCGTACATCGTCAAATAGACTCTGACAGAAAATCTCCAATGCTATAATAGCCTCTGGAGGTTAATAAACACTCCACTCTGTTTTTAAACATAGTTTTGTTCAACGAACAGCGAGGCTCTGGATCACATATTAAGATGGCCGCCGCCAAAGACGTGCTTATCGCTGAGCTCGACAAATTCAGAAAATCTGACTTGATAGACCTGATTGTGTACCAGAAATTACCGTCAAAAGTGAATATTAGTGGAAATGTATTAGAACTTCATAGAAAACTGGAAAGAGTGTGGAGTTATGAACAAGAAACTGAAGAAAGTGTGTGTAGTGACGCTGGTGAAACGACAGACAACTACTGTTATAAGAAAACATGCACACAGGAAAAAATCAAAGTGCAAGTGTTGGTGGCAAAAGAAGTATTGCAAGATAAACTTATCAGTGAACTCGAAAAACGAATTTCTAATCTTGAAGAGATAATTAACCTAATAAAAAATTGTAAACATCTTCCAAATGAACCCAACACCAAAACGAAACAACTACAGCCACCTATGGGCGAGGGTACAAATACACATACTAGTACTTTCGGAAAACATAATGCCAATGAAAGGAATCATCACAAAAACAACGAAAAAGAAGATTCCGCCACCAATTCAACAAAAAACGCTATTAGTCCGGCAATAACTAGCGAACAGGTCAGAGACGCGATAAAAAATGCACAGCAACAGTCCGGGTGGCACAAGCAAAGCAGCAATAGGAAATATAAAAGGAAACCAATTGTGGGAAACAGTAAGCAAATAGACTCAATCAAAACAATCACTAAACAGGGATACCTGCACGTCTACAGTCTGGTAGAAGAAACAACCCCTGGGGAACTTGAACAAGGACTGAAAATAACAGCCCCCCACATCCCCTTCCAATGCGAAATATTGAATAAACAGAATGGGAAATGCTCCATGTTAGTGAGATTTCCTATACAATTCGTAAAGGATGTCTACAATCCAGAGATATGGCCCTCCGGAGCACTAGTAAATAGATATATTTTCCGGTCTGGTGACATGTACAACAAGAACAATGGGATAGGAAAAAAATCACTAGAAAATGACGTTTTAGAAGTTGAAAAACCTCTTATTACCAACGAGGACAGAAGAAAACTATTCTTACCGCTCAACAATGTCTTATTATATAGCAATATTCAAAGCCTAGGGAGTAAAATCAACTTGTTGGAAATGATATGCGATCAAAACAAGGTTCAGTTTCTTTGTATTTGTGAGCATTGGATGAATGAATCCCAACTGGAACATGTATGCATCTTGGGTTTCATGAACATAACTAAATTTTGCCGAACAAATAATAAACACGGGGGAACGGCGATATTCGTTAGGACGAATGAGATGAAAGATTGTAAAAACTTGAACTATATTGTGAATATGTCAGTAGAGAGATGTTTCGAATGCTCGGCTATCGAAAAAGATAAAACCGTATGTATCATTACAATATATCGTCCACCAACTGGTGACATAAATAATTTTTACAAAATTTTTGAAGTACTATTGAATAATGTGACTCAGAAATATACCTCCATTATCATATCGGGAGATCTCAATATAAATTTTCTGCATAAAACATGCCCCCAATATAAAAAACTTATAGATCTTCTAGACTCATATGAACTCAATGTAATTACAAATGAACCAACCAGATGTGCCAAATATGGTAACATTGTAACCACCTCTGGCATTGATTATATAATTACGAACCTGAGAGACTATTCCAACAAAGTTATAGATTTTGGAATCTCAGATCACACCAGCCAAATATTCAAATGGCATCAAGACAACAATAAACAAATTAACAACGCTATTGAAAGAGAAGGTCGAGTTTTCTCCTCATTCAACATTCATGAATTTCAAACAAAAATGGAATCCATGGATCTAACCGATCAATCAACCAACATTGAACAAACATTCTCTGAATATTCAAATCATCTGAACTATTGTTTTGAATCTTGTTTCCCAAAACGTAAAATTAAAACAAACTCATATCCCAAAAAATTCAAATACTCACATGAACTCCAAAAGGAATCAGATGATTTAAAAAAGTTGAATTGAATACGGAAACAAGAGCCAGAAAATGATTATCTCAACAATCAATATAAATATAAAAAAAGAACACTTAATGAGAAAATGGCTACAGAAAAACAACAATTTCATACTAACAAAATACTCACGTCAACAAACAAACAAAAAACACTCTGGACATTAGTGAATGATAAACTGGGCAGAAATAATGGAACCAAAAAGAAAATTGAAATAAAAACAGACAGTGTTATTGAATCTGACCATTGCTTGCCAAACAAAATGGGAACATATTTCTCAAAATCAATTGTACAAAAAATTAACTCCTTGAATTTACCCCAAAACCAATTCACTACTATAAAGAATACACCCTGTAATTCAATGTATTTCAGACCCTACAACGATACCGAAATGATAACTATAATAACAAGCTTCAAAAAAAAAATTCACAGCTGGTATTGACGAAATTCCAATGAGAGTATTCAGTGAGAGTGCTCAGGTATTGTCAAAAAACCTGACCATTCTAATCAATCAATCAGTTAATGAAGGTATATTCCCTGATCAACTGAAATTCTCCAAAGTCGTACCAGTACATAAAAGAGGTGACACCTCAGAAATGGAAAACTATCGAGGCATATGTGTCTTGAACTCCATATCAAAAATAATGGAAAAAGCAGTGTATGACAGAACGGTAAGCTTTTTGGACAACCATAAATTGATAGCATCTTCCCAACACGGTTTCAGGAGCAATTTTTCCATTGAAACTGCTTCAACCGATATGATCCAATATATCTATGAAAATACCAACAAAAATTATTATGCAATGGGGATCTTCTTCGATCTTAGCCGAGCATTCGAAACTATAAACCCACATTATTTAGGTGAGAAACTTTTTAAAATGGGCATCAGGGGAACATTAAACCAATGGTTCAAGTCATATGTGAGTAATAGAAAAGTGGTAGTCAAAGTAAATGACCACATATCAGATCCATTTGATGTGGACTTGGGAACACCGCAAGGGGGAGTACTTGGACCACTGCTGTTTTTATTATACGTAAACGATCTTCCAGAAAATATAACAGAAGGCCGAGTTTTTATGTACGCCGATGATACTACCATCATTGTAGCTTCCCCAAGTCCAAACGAAATGAATAATAAAATAAAAACTGTCATTGATGAATTCGAAGTATGGTGTAGATGTAACCATTTGATAAACAACTTGGATAAAACAACGTTCATTCAATTTTCAAACAAATACTACCGTCCACTTCCTATTGATCCGCGATTAGAATTATCAGACTGTACAAAATTCCTTGGAACACAACTGGATTGTAAATTATCTTTCAACAAACATATTGAATACCTATGCACAACACTGAAAAAAACTTATTACGCTTTCCTAACATTGAAGTCGAATTTCACGAATCATAATCTACTGGACATTTACTATGCATTGGTATATTCCAAAATAAGTATAAATATTTCCATTTGGGGACTAGCATCAGATGTAAATCGGATCTTCATTATGCAAAAACGTTTTTTGCGTCTGATTTTTGATGTCAAATATAGAGAATCTTGCAAAGAAACATTTAAAAATAACCGTATTCTTACACTACCATGCATTTACCTTTATAAAACGCTAAGTTATGTTCATTCAAATTCCGTATCATTCATGCAGAATAAAGAAATCCATCATCATTTTACAAGGAACAGAAATGATTTCCATTTGACGAAATGTAACTATTGTGGGTATAAAAAATCCCCAAATTACTCAGGAACAAAATATTTCAATTTACTTCCCCAAACCATCAAAGAAGAAAAAAACCATGTGAAATTTAAAAAGCTCCTCAAAGAATATCTTCTAACAAGTTGCTTTTACTCCCTCAAAGAGTATGAGAACCTCTCTTAATATGATGTATTTGCTGTACTATTCATGAGTACTTTGTTTGTATATTTGTTTTTTGTTTTTGTTTTCGACGTGTCACATATACAATTTGTATCAAAAATGACGAAATAAAACTTGAACTTGAACTTGAACTTCAGCTCTCTAAACGTTTCAGGCAAGTGGTTGAATAATATAATCCCCAGATAAGTGGGAGATCTTTCAAATTTCAATGTTTCATGTTTCGGAATATACAGAAGATTACCATCCACTACATTCACAGATCATCTCTTCAGAAAACTGGGATAGATCGAGAACTTGCACCTTCCAGCTGTTTCTCACATATATTACACTACCTCCATGGATATGGATAGTGCGACAAAAATGAGATGTCTTTACTGTACCAGTGTTCAACTACACTATGTCGGGGTTTTCTTCCTTCAAAAGAACGTCAAATTTATTCATCTTGTTTGTGGGGCTTTGGGCATTCAGGTGAAGAATCTTCAGATTCATTTCCTGATTGTCATTGACTACCAGCGCTCCAGTTTTTAGGGCGTTGGTTCTTTCGTCTGTCTTCGTTGTAAAAAATAACGAACGTAGGCATTTTTGGGCCAGACATTTGGATCCTTTATGAGGTCCAATTGGTTTCTGGGAATGGATACTTTAAAAGAGGAGTACCTATCGGGATACCTGGGTTGCAAGGGCTCACACTTCAATCCAGGTAAGGTTGGCAGCAGAAAATTTTTCAATACCTCTAGAGTGGTATTTGGTTTCAGGTTATAAACGTGGATGTCCAAGGTTTTTTTCGATGCCTTCAACTGATGCTCGTCCAGAGAAGTTACCAACTGAAAGATTTCCCCTTTGTTTTTCCCTAGGTCTCTTATGTTCAACTTTAGTCCATTGGCTCTGCACATCATCTGCTTCTAAGCTTGTTGTTGGGTGCAATATTAGTGTATTTACTGCATATCAATTTTGTTTCGGAATCAAATCAAATGTTTCAGATTTCTTATTATCATAATAAATCGATTGTTTGAATCGAGAACATTGCTGTCTCCGAACAACATTAACTTGTTGTGACGATATATCATTTTGCATAACCTGAAGTTGTTTTGTTGTGATTTCTGTAACGCTGCATGAAGACAATGTTTTTCTCAGATCTGAATCAGTATCTGCTATTAACTTTTCACGAAGTCTGTGGCTTTTTATACCAACTATTATTTTGTCCCTCAGCATCTTTTCTTCGAGAGAACCAAAATCACATTTTTTAATTTGGGTTTGAATTCGTTGGAAGAACTCATCGAAACTTTCATTTTCTTCTTGTCGCATATTGTAGAATATAAAAGTTTCATACGCAGTGTTTGTTCTAGGCGTGAAATAATCTTGCGGCTGCTTGATATTCATGAGTGTATCTTTTTTCTCTTCTGGCCAGTTGTTGTATACCTCGAACAAATCAACACCAATTGACATCATGAATGTTGATATCTGTTGAGTAATTGGTTTTGAATGCAAATCATTAGCTTTTTCGAAACACTCAAAGTGCTACAACCATCTTTTCCAGTCTAGAGTTGGGTCATTCTCAATTTTCAGTGCTTTCGAAGGTTGTACATATGATAGAATTGACATCATATGTGCTGATACTATTGGGGACGAAGGTCCTGATTGAGTCCTGAGGTGATCAACCTGTCTTCTCAGGGCTCCAATAATTTCTTGCAATTCATCCATTGTCGGCATTTTCGACTATTGATTGCTAATCAAACTTATTCTGACACCATGTGATGATATCCAGTTCAATATTAATCAGAATGGTTCAATTTCGAATATAATAATGACTGACTGATCAATACCCTGCCATCGCAAGTCACAGTGTCAAGATGACAGTTGACTATTATGACATATACTGAGTGTTATACACTAGTATACGTTGCAATTTCTTGAGAACAATCGGTGGGAGTCCGTCGGAGCCACAAGCTTTGTTGGTGTTTGAGACCCGATAAAATC